CACAGGGTAATGGAATTGCGCTCTGAAATGCAAACAAACGGAACCATGCCCAAACGGGAGAGAGGGAGGGGAAAAAAAAAAAACAAAAAACAAAAAACAGGAACATTTCCGAGGGCCAACTACTTTTTCGCCTCTACAGAAGATGCAGATTCAAATAGCCCTTATTTCGAAGAATTTAAGGAGAGAAGGTTTTGCACCAACGCACTTGAGAACACACACTATTTATACGCAAGTTGAAAAATATCCTCCAACATTAAAACGGTCGTATGTTTCTAAGAAGTGAGAGAGTGTTTCTAAAGAAAATACGATTTTATCCACTCATCTCACTTAGCATTATTTCCAACACATAAAGCTGCTTTTTTTTTTTTTTTTTTTTTTTTCAACGATCATGCTAGTAGTTCAGTTCTGCACTTCGTATTTTAAGTTCACATCAAAACTGGAATTAAACAGAGAGGCAGCGTGGAGAGTAAACTGCAGCTTAAATGAGAAAAACTTCTGTAAGAAAATAAACACTGAAACCTAATGCTCAATCATTTCCCTTAGCAGTAAGAAAAACAGCATTAAATCACCTATCCACGTGGGAAACGGATTTTTTTTTTCTTTCTGCTGATCTCTTCCCCCTTTAAAATAAAACAAGGTTAAGGGTTTCAATATTGAAATGTTAACCATCCTGATTCGGCGAAAGTTTATGTAAACGGAGCCTCTGCTTTTGTCTCGAAAATCAAACGCCTCTCCGCACCGAAACGATCCATCCCCACTAGGTCAGAGACGGCAAACCTTCCTTTTCCCTCTCTGTTCGAATAAGGAGAATGGGACCCTTAAAATATTCCTAACTAAGAAAGAAAAACAAAAAACCCAAACAAAAACAAACAAAAATCTACTTATTGCTTTTCTGTTGTTGTTGGTTGGTTGTTCTGTTTTTTGTGGTTTGGTTTTGTTTTGGGTTTGTTTTTTTTTTTTTTTTTTTTTTTTTTTTTCTTTTCTCCGTTCACTTTTGGATACTGGTGAGGATCAATGAAGAATTACCCCACTAGTCATAGCTAGCAGATCTTTTTTGATGGAAAACTCTTTTAGTCCTTCGACATGCCGGAGATTTTTCCACATATTTTTTGAGGCTACATTACTTCTCATTAACTGTTTCATGCTAAATTTCAATTCTATGGTTTGGTGTGGGTTTTTATTTTGTCTGTTTTTGGGTTGTTGGTTTTTTTTTGCTTGTTTATTTGTTGTGTTGGTTTTTTATTATTTTTTTTTTTTTTTTTTTTAATGAACGTTAACTCACGAGTGAGTTTATTAGGAAGTTCTGCGCTTAAAAAAATCTTCCTCACTGTCCTCAGCTATTTAGTAGGTCTTCAGCCTTTCCAAAAGCTGTCCAATCACCGAAAACTACTATATGTCTTATAGGCTTTCTGCTCCTGAGGCAGAAAAATTTTAGCACTGAAATGATGCAAGCTACCTAAGCCGCTGAACACTTTTTGCCCTTGACAGTTTTAACCTGCTGGAGACCCAGTAAAGTGAAATCAGGGCTAGAGAGAACAACCTAGGCGTTTTCATAATTTGTGAGAATTATACAGCCATTACGAGAGGGAGCTCGCTGGAAAATCTCTGCTCGGTTTATCAAGTTTATTCGGTGCCACCGATTCGCGTTTAGATTTCTGGGGGTGAGACGGAAACGGTACGTGATTATTCTGCGTGTGACTCTTCTGGCATTTTGCTCCCAGAAAACCCTCTTGTTTCCAGGCTGAGACCGAAGTCTACCCACCTCCTCTCGGAACCTTTCAGACGCAAAAACACGCAGACAAACGCGCACCGATTGTTCCCGCCTGTCCCCGGCCCCGCGTGTGCGCGGCGGTGGGGGAGCCTGGATCTCTCTGTACGTGACTATTTACAACCAGCCCCTCTGCAAGCGCTCCTCGGGCAGATGGAAATTCGCTCTTGTGCCGGGGAGAGTGGGGTGCGGGTTGCGCTGGGGGCGCAGCTCGCTTTCACGGAGGAGGCAACGCTTCTCTGTCCTGACTCCTCCAAGATCTCTTGCAACGCAGGACATGACGCTTTGCCGCGCTCCCGAGCCTCCTGCTACCCACCTCCAGCCCTTTGGCCAACTCCTCGGGTCTGTCCCGATGCTCGTATCGCTTTCCTCCCCAGGGATAAACGAGCAAACGGACACCCCCCCCCCCCCCCCGATGAAACTCATCCACCATCCCTCCCCTGCCTCCTTCTCTCAGAAAGGTTTTTCCTTTGGGTGCGTCATTTCCCTGGTTGCTACCTGTCCTCCCTCCTCAGCGAAACGATGACTCCTTTTTCGGGCTGGGGTCACAGGGAGAGACGAGGATCTCCCCCCTCTTCCTCGCCAAACCCCCCCGCCCCCCCCCCCCCCCCCTCGCCCCGCACCCTCTCGCTGCAGCCGGAGGAGCCGAAAGTGCCGGTGCACCCCCACCGGGAGCCCCTGCCGCCCCCCGGGCTCCCGGGGAAAATCACCCGGCGCCGGGCTCGGTTCCCGCACGGCCAAACACGGGCGCAGCGCCGGGAGGCCGCTCGTGGGCGAGTCACTCGTGGTTACTCGCGGCGCCGGCGAGCGCAGGGATAACCCGCCGCTTCGGTGCCGGGCCTGGCCGCGCTCCCCGCTCACCCCGCACCCGCCTCCTCGGAAGTACGTGGGAGAAAGAGAGAGAGAACCCGCGTGGGGCCGCCGAGAAACCGCCCGGTGCCGCGCCGCGCCACGCCACGCCGCGGCCCGCTCTTTGAGGCCTTTGTGCCCAAGCCTCCGTGCCCCCCCTCCCACCCTCCCCAAACACCCCCCCGCCCCGCTGCCTTGCGCGGGGGTGCGCGGCTCCGAGGGAAGTGGGGGGGGGGGGGGGGGGGGCGCGACGGTCCCGCGTGGACCTGCCGCCGTCTCGGCGCCGGGCCTCCCGCGGCAGCGCGCCTCGGAGGGGGCGAGCCCTTGACGTGCCTGCTCGCTTGCCTCTCTTTTTAATTTCCAGTTTGCCTTTAATGAGGCCGCGGAGGCTCAGCCGCCCCCACGGGCTCGGCGCTCCGCGCAGCATCTGCCACGGGCGGCGGGGCCCCGGCCCCGGCGCGCTTCCCCGCGCGGTTCCCCAGGGCATTCAAACATCCTGCGCTGCCACCGAGGGACGGGGATCAGCTATTCTTCCCGTCCCGTGGTTACTCACAGCCTACAAGCAACACCATATGCTTCTTCTGATCAAACAACCCGCTACATAGGCACCAGTAATTGACGAGACCTGCTCGGGATCACGCAGAAAGGTAGCCCACTGAGACCGCAGGAGTTGACAAATCATTGCTAATAATCCTTTTAGGAACATCACGGGCATCGGAGTTTGCTATAGCTTTATTTTTATAAAGTACGCGCTGACAGTATAAAGGACAACTCGGTTTCCTTTGAAAGGGAGGACTGCCCCGAATAATGATCTTCGAGGAGACAGATCCCATAGAAGAAGAAAGTGGCTTGATGAAGACTTGAATTATTATTATTATTTTAAAGTTTAGGGTGTTATAGCTTTCATTTATCCCTTCTTTGGTCCCTAGGGACTCGGAGATACGGCACATTGTCTAAACAAACTACTGCAAAGATGCACTGGATTAGAAATCACTGCTGTGGACTTTAGGTATAAGCATTCATACATAACCGTGTTCGTGCCGACGTTCATATGCCCCCCCGGTCCAAATGACTGCCCGATCGCATCTTTACTTTTAAAAAATAGAATTAGGACCGGTACTTCACAGACTTAATCAGGCTTAAAAAAAAAAAAAAAAAAAAAATCCACCACCCAAATCAAACCCAAACCAGGCCGTATACTCATTCTTGATTTGTAAAACATAGTAGACAGACAGACCGACCGACTAGAGGTACAGCTACAGAAAACCACAGGGAGATATCTGTATTACGTTGCTTTTTTATGCACACACACTTTTCAACAAAAGATGCAGTGAATTTTGTTATTAGGTCGGGAAAAAAAGCACCTCTTAATGCTTTTTCTTTTGTGCAGACTATTTCTCAAATCCAGTTGGCTTTAAAAAAAGATTCGTGATTTTTTTTTTTTAATTTTTTTTTCCCCCTACATCTTATAAAAGCAATAGAGTGAGAACACAGGAGAACTTTATTCCGACCCTCTTAACTTTCTGTGCTGTTTGTTTTTCTTGGCAGCCGATCTAGAAGCCCCAAGACGGTCGCTTTTAAGCCTAATTCTACTCAAAAGCAAGACATACTTTAGGACGCTTCGGTCTGCTTTTGCTAGGCAGGCGGAACTGTGGCTGCTGCGGGGAAATCCACGTGAAGTTTCCTGTTGCCCGACCGTGGAGGAGAGTCAGGCCCAGACCCGGAGGCTGGGCGGGCAGGGGGGTTGAATAAATCTGAGTACAAAACGCCTGTTAAAAATTTCCGAGGTCGATTAACGCCCTCAAACCACCCTAATGATCCTCAGAGCGAGACGCATCACATTCATGATGCGATCCGGTGTGCTGGTCTTATTTATTTAGGCTCTGCGTGTGTGTGAGCACGCGTGTACGCGGGTGCTGTACCTGTAAACCGCACCTTTGCTCGATACTTGAACTAAGGCTTTAGGACTTTGCATAGACTTATGTAAATATTTACCCATATATTAACTCCCCCCATAGTATAGCTATAAATAGGGGTGAATCGTCCCCTCTTTCGCCGCGCACGTGCTTGGCGGGGGATGCACATCTTACTGGGAGACTGGGGGAAAAGAAAACCCGTATTTGCTTTAGACACGCAGCAGAGCTCAGTGCCTTCAAGTGTTGACAAAAGCACCGTAAGTCCCCAACCAAACCTGTCACAGGAGCTGAAGGGAAAGTATTTACGGCAGAGAAAAGTGACAGTGGAGAGCACCCTGCCTCCGAGCATTCCACCCCACGACATTTACCTCTTTCTTTTTTTTTTTTTTTTTTTTTTTTTTAAGTAAAAGCGACAAGCGACACCTGGATCGGAATGGAAAGAGAGGCGAATAGGCATTCCCACCTACCTTCTGGAAAAACCACCCTCATTTTTAAATAGCTGGTGGTGAGTCTGATTATGGATGCTTTGTCCAGCTGAGAGGTGATAGCGGAGGGCAGGGGTAGTAATTTCGCCAGTTCATAAAATTCACTGTTTTCTTTCTCCCGTCTAGTCCGGGCAGCATTTTTGGACTTCTCTTTCATCGTGTTTTTTTCCCCCTTCCTTCCTACAATTTAAACTCCAGAGATTCATCCAAAGATGGAAGGGAAACTTTCAGCGGCAATTCATCTCTCCGAAGCATCAGGCAGTGATTCTGAGCGCAGCCATTACTCTGAGAAACCGTTCAGTTGCGTAAAATGCAAACAAGTACTGAAGACCAGACAGTTGTTCTTTAAAAAAAAAAAAAAAATTCTCTGAAAAGCAGAGTCAATCGGATGGGAAAGGCATTTATCCAATGCAGCTCAGAGACTCCAAGCAACTGCAGGAAAAATAAAATAAAAAAGCTAGAAGCTTGCGGCACCACGCAGCAACCAAATGAGGTATTTCTGGCCTTTTTTCCTACTCATGGCGGGCAGCATAGGTCCTCGGAAGAGGCTCATAATAATCCCGTTTCTTCCCGTGATCCGCTGTCAATCCGAGGCCCGAAACTCGCGGCCGTGGGCTGCCTCCCAGGGCGCTGGGTGACTTCCCGGGAGCCTCTGTGAAGACAACAGCAGTCCTGGGGTGAGAGAGCCGGTACACAACGCCGCAGCGGAGCCGCGAGAAATAATAATCAACAACCAGCCTCCGGCGGGTGCAGTATTTTCTCCCACCAGAGGGGAAAGAAAGGAGAAGAAAAAAAAAAAAAAAAAAAGTATATTTTCGCATCTAGCGAGCCCGTAGCAGAGCCTGCCCCGCTCTCTCCCCCCCCTCCCCAGCCCAGGTGTGCACGGCATGGCCGGAACGAACCCCGGGCAGAAACCGGCCCCCCCCCCGGAGGAGTTACCGGCCGATTTCGGTGCGGGACGGGCTGCGCCGGCCCCTCCGCGCTCCCCCGCGCTGGCGGCCAGACCTCGCCGCGCACCGCAAACCTTTCCAATCCCGGAGAATTTATGCCCCTTCTTTTTTTTTTTTTTTTTTTTTTTTTTTTTTTTAATCTTTTAAATTTTCCCCTCGTCTCGGCTGTTCTCATTCCCCGGCTGGGGTTGGGGAAGGTGTGTGGGGGTGTGGGGGTGTGTAGGGGGGTCTCTACCCCAGGGAGGCACGCTGTGCCCAGCCCTGCCCCAAGCCGGAATCGACACCACTACCCCCCTCCTCCTCAAAAAAAAAAAAAAAAAAAAAAAAATTAACATTTTTCCAACCGATTTTTTTTTTTCCTTATTTTCCACCGGGGGGAAGCGACCCGCAGCCTGGCCCCGCGCATCACTGCGGCTGCTCGCTGAGGCTGGCAGCTTCTGGTGGGTTGTGATCTTCTTTTTTTTTTTTTTTACCTACCTTGAGTCCCTGAGCCCGGCAGCCTGCAGAGAGCTCTCCCGGGGTGAGGAGCCCAACTCTTTAATTGGTTCATTAATGGCACGGGGAAAAGTTTGCGCCTGTCACTGCTCCTCACACCGATGGGCAGACAGACATTGCCGCCTCCCCATCCCCTTTATCGGCTCCCAGGCTCTCCCTCTCACAGAACGGGGGGGGTGGGGGGTAGGGTGGGGTGAGGTGGGGGGGGGGGCGAGGTTGGTATTAATGAAGAATCCCTAATTTGCGGCTGAGAAATGCCTAATAACTTCTTGATGGCTAAAAGCCTTTTAGCACAACTTCATTTCTCTCCCAGACGCGCCCCCCCCTCCCCCGCCCACCAGCCGAGCCCACCCTTAACGCCACTCACGGACCCACCTCGCTTCCCATTGGCCACCGCCACCCCGCGCCCGGCTTCCTACTGGTGGAGGGGACGGTGACGTCACCGCGCCCCGGGCACACCCCCCTCCCCTCTCTCTCCCCGCGTCCGCCCTCTGACCTGCCGGCGCCGCGGGGCGGGGGGGGCGCATCGCGGGGGGACACCCCCCCCCACCCGCGTACCTGCCCGCTCCTCTCTGTTGGGGTTAATTTTTGTTTATTTGAAGTGTGTTAAGTGGGTTTTGGGTTTTTTTGTGGGGGTTTGTTTTTCTTTTTTTTTTTTTTTTTTTTTTTTTTTTTTTTTGCCATCCCCGCTGGGCACCGGAGTGGAGCGCCCGAGATCCCTCGAGACTGTGGGTTGTGAGGATCGGCAATTTTAGTGTGTGTGTGTGTGTGTCCCTCAAGCAAGTGGTCGTGCTGGGGGAGAAATAAGGTGCAGCCACATCCCCTGTCCGTCCGTGTCCGTCGTGTGTCCCCCCCCCCCTTTTGAACGGGATACGGTTCAGCCCCGGGCTGACGCTCTGTGGGACAGCTTGAACAGAGTGGCGGTGGGGAGGAGGACGGAGAAAGATTTTGACGTATCTTCTTGATATACACTGGAAAAAAAAAAATAATCCCACAAACAGAAGAGTAAAAAAAAAAAAAAAAACAAACCACCCCCAAAACCCAATCCTCCTACAGCAGGAGACGGAGGCACTTTAAAACTGTTCGCGAAGTGGATGTGGAGCGAGGGGGTTTCTTTCTTTCCCAGGGAGCGGGACTATTCCTAATCTCGCTAGTCCCCTCAAAATAAATAAATAAATAACAAAAACAAAACCCCCAAACAAACCAGACACGGCTCCTAAAACTGCTGGCTCCTAAAAAGAGTAGAGAGAGCAGAAAGAGAGCGCCGGGGGGCCGTGGGTGGGGGGTGGGGGGAAGAAGAAGGGTTGCAGACTCTTCCCTAAAACCATAAGGGACGCTCAAAAGCCTGAAAGAATTGCCAAACCAGTCGGTGCGAGAATTCGGCTACAATAGTTGTTTAAAATGAGATTGCACTGGCAAGGCAACCGTCGGGATATTTCGAGGAAGAAGAAACGGTGTCGGTTTTCGAAAGAAGAAAAATGTCAACAATAACAACAACAAAAAAGCGCCTCTGAAACACCCCATCCCTTTTGCTCCACGGAGGGCTGCAGCTCGAAGCGTAGCTTCGCTGCTTATCACCTTAAATCTCCCTTCGGTTAAAAGCTTTCCCTGTGTTCATTTGGGTAAATAAAGGAAGGATGGAAGGAGAGGCATTCATCAACTCCTCTGGGTGTCCAGGCGTCTACAAGCAGCAGAGAAAATGGATTCACGTAGTCTCAAATGTTCTTTTGATTGTCTTGTTTACCGAAGCGACCCGTTGTTAAACAAACAGGAACGCAAGTCATTTAGTGAAGGTATGGATTAAAAAAAAAAAAAAAAAGTGAAGGGAAAAAAAAAAAAAACAAACCAGAAGCACCGCTCCCCGCCCCTCGTCATTTTGTAAAGCGATCGCTGCTGTGGGGGAAAGTGATACTGAATTTTCAAAAATCTTCCCTGTGCGTTACTGCCATCAGGTGTAAGGTGGGTTTGAGGGAGAGTTAAAAAAAAAACAAAAAAAAACAAAAAAAACAACCCACATCTTCCTTCTGGTTTTCATTTGAGGTAATTCTCTTGCTAAACGACACTGACGTCTCTTGGAGGGTATTTAGACATATGGGCAACAACTGGACTAACACTGTCAGGTAGCTCACGAGTTATTTGTCAACATGAGCCGCAGAGAATGTCTTTTATAACACCCTTGGTTTGGGAAAAACAAATAAATCAGTAGGATACACTCCTGCTAATTTATACCAGGGAACATGAGCATCCACCTTACCAACCCCAGGCAGCCCCAGCGAGGACGGCAGCTCACCCAGGATCCGCTTTCACGGCGTGCCGGGGCTCGGTTTCTTCCCCGCAGCGGCAGTCCCGCGTGGGTGTCAGCGGCCGCCCCGGTTCCCCCCGGGGCCGGAGCCTGGCGGGGGGGGCTCGCACTCGACGAGCCCCTCCGTAGATTTTTACTGTCTAAATGCTACGGTAGGTAAAGTACAAGATGTGAAAGGACCGGCGTGCGAAAGACAGTCATTCGGCTTTCGAAGTTACACCGACCGTGGGCAAAGTCACGGCGCTACAGAATCACTCGCGCGGGGCCAGCACGCTGGGGACATCGCCCGGCAGATTTCACCAGGCGGTTATCGGACGGTGGGAGAATTTGGCCGCCTCTAAGTCATTAGCCTTGTTTTCCTTCGCCAAAAAAACGCGACTTCAGGCAGCGGAGATGAGGGCTGGCGCTGCCCTGTCCCAGCCACGCAGGGGAAGGCAGCCCGCGGTAGCTCCGAGAGCCCGACGTCCCTGGCGGAGGGCTCGGCGAGGCTGCTGCCGCGCCCCACGGAAGCGCCTCTGTCCCGGGTGGGTGGGTACGTGACGCTGTGCAACAAGCGAAGTGAACGCACGGCCGCGGGATGCCCCGCGCCGCCGTTACTCCTCGGCGTAGCAGCCGTCGGAGCAGAGTGGGCAGCAGCTGAGGGCGCGGAGTGGGTACCTGAGCCCCGGGGTGGGGGGGTGGGGGGGCACGGCGGCTCCGGCCCCACGCCGCCCCACGGGGCCCGTGTCCCCCTGTCCCCCCGCGGCGGGGCAGGGGCAGCGGGGCGGGGGGCCGGGGTGGCCCCGCCGGGCTGTCTGGAGCTGCTCTGGGTTCGGGCGCGTTTGTTTTCGGGGTGAGAAATGCTCTGGAAAACGGAAAATATTGGAAAATTGAAGAAATAGTTGCTGCAGCGCAGTTGGATTTAAAAAGACGGGTAACGGAACGGGCTGGCTGGAGAAAGGCTGGGTGAAAAGAGAGCGTTTCACGGACAGGTTTCCAACTGTGTGTAGCAGCAAACTTGTGTAGCCACGCACAATATGCAGCGAATACTGCAGCATGTGTGCGTGCGTGTGTGTGCGGAGAAAGAGCGGGGGAAGAGACAACTGTACAGATCAAAACGGAGGAAAAAATATTAAAACAAAAAAAAAAAAAGAAAGAAAGAAAAGCCTTACTGGGTCACTTCCCTATAGGACACGTCTAATCCGGTTTCTTCTCCAGCACATTCTGGCGTACTCTGATATATATTTATTGGTTTATGAATGTGGATGCGTTTACTAATCCCCTCCCCAAAGAATAAGGTGGCCATTTCTTATGCAGAGAAACATGTTTTCAAGCCTAAGACATCGCTCGCACGCTGCTCTTCTGAGAGCGTTTGAAAAAGGTAGGGATTAGCGAATTAACCACGCCGGTCGCTCTCAGGATTGCTTAAAAAAAAAAACCCCAACCCATCGGCCTGGAACCGGTACCGGGCAGTTTCCGACACGCCGAACCTCCCTCCGCTTCGTGGGGCCGAGAAGGCGGGATCCGGCCCCTCACGGCCCCGGCGAGCCAGCGGGGGGGCCCCGTGTGCCCCCCACGCGGGGTGCAGCGCTCCGAGGGTGCCGGGAGGGCCAGGCGGGTGGATTGGCTTTCTAAGAGACCGGTAACTTCAGACACACGCACTCGGGTACCCTGGTGAATTGGAGTGTGATGTGAATTTCCATCCGTGCCCTAATCAAGGCTTTATTGACATAAATATACACGGTAAATGCTCTCTGAGACCATTCAGAAGCAATTAATACGTTTTAACTGATCTAGATCTTAACCTCCAAGATTCAAGCCATGCTCTAGGTACTTTATTCCTGCTCTTTTGCTAATGTTATTAGGATGTTCAGGGGAGCAGGACAACGAGAAAGCCGATTCTCTAACAAAACACAGGAAATAGTGAACAGACCCTTGGATACCAGATAAAAGCGGTTTCGAATGCATCTCCTAAAAAATAATTATAGAAACACTGCAAAATTAGAGTACTCGATCACCACCATGATTGTTAGTTATTTTCAGTCATTGTTTTAAACAATTTTTGGCGATATATCCGTGGATTTTTTTTTTTTTTTTTCACGGATGCTTTGGGGGGCACTTCTCTTGACTACGCAGTCCTTTCAATTTTATTGGTTTTGGCATAAATGTAACGAGATGATTTATATTCAGTTTCCCAGTGGAGTCAAAGGTCAGTCCCTTTTAGCCCTTATCTTATTGAATACACTCTTGCTAATGATCGGAAGACAAGCTATCTTACTGTTACGTCAAGCAGCGCATGAAAACATAAACTAAATATAAAGAAACGTTTAAAAATCTACTTTATGGGCAGTAACGATTACCCCCAGGCACATTTTTCTTGCCTGCTCTATTTCCGAAGGGGCCTGGGACACTGAACGTCCCAACCGAGCTGAAACACCCTTGGAAGGGATGAGGGGTTCGGGAAGGATACGGGACGGAAAACGAACTTTGGGAGAAATTAAAAACTTCAGAAAGTGTTTCCTGCCCTCCCTACGTCTTCACAGACATCTCGCTTAGCTCCCGGATTCCTTTCTCTGCACGACTGGTTATTTTTCCCCTCCAGCCCCTGGGGCGGTACCAGCGACCCCGGCTCCCCCCCCCCCCCACCCCCCCCCCCACCCCCCGCGCCGGGCTCCCCCACCCGAGACCCGCACCCGGCGCCCTCGCTGCCTCCCGCGGGGCTTGCCGCACCCTCCCCACGCCGTGTGGAGCCCACTCCCACGCACGGCGCGCTCCC